GCAGCCCGACTTGTAACCACTACGCTACCAGAGCTCCTTGACTCATAGCATAGGAGTGTGAAAAAGACCAGTGCAGTGTTCAGCTCCTGGCACTAGGGGGCACTAACTGACTGATTTTGAACCTGCTTAACAACTGAGCTATATCCATTGGTATAAACTGTAGCATGTGTCTTTGAGAACTTGAATCGACTTTTTTTTTTTAGGTGACAAGGAGAAGGTACTTGGACCATCATGTGTGAGTCTGGCCTTGCTCTTCCCACACACCGATGAGGCCCAGGGCTGAGAGTCTGTGGTCAGGCAGGGAGTCGGGCTGTGAGGTTACTGAGCTCTGGACAGGTTCCTGGAAGCGCTCCTGGATCTCTTACTTAGGAGCATTAGACTGGGAATGGAAGACCAGGCTCCAGCCAGGACCCCCATCCACATTTTAATTCAGTAGAACCCTTCAGTCCAGGGCCATGCTGTTTTAGGGGACAGGGAAGCTCAGTATAGGGGTCTGGACCTTGTCAAGCCTACCACATCCTGGCAGGGTTAGCAAATAGCCCTACAGCTTAAACCACCCAATAACTCAGAATTGGAAAGGAAAATAGAAGAGGCACCTCCATTCACAGGGAGCTCGATCATTATACGAACATTTGGGTTTCCATCACTGATGTGAATGGATCCTCAAAAGATTCCTGAGCAGACACTAACAGCATCATACCAGAAACACAGCCTAGAAAGGTCCTTGGTTGACACAAGGTCAATGCAATAAACAGAGTCCAGGAATGTATTTTCTTGCTAGGAGAATGCAGATCGGTGTCTATTAAACCTGGCGCCAGGGTTATCCAGTACACATGGCCCTGGCAGACTATGTGAGTTGGAGCTTATTTTCTTTTTGAATACATGTAAGGCACCCCTTTATTTTGTCCTGGGTACAGCTGTCCAGTTCAGGGTAATGTTGGCCCGCCCAGGACAGCACACCTCCATGAACAGTGGCTGACCCTGACCTACGGATGAGAAAACGTCACAGAAGAGTCCCAATGCCAATTCTCATGAGTACATTTTTGTTGGTAATCCTTAAGAGGTTCAATTGACACCTTACACCTTGGCTGAGAGGGGAATGCAATGTCTCAATAGAAAAAAACACTGGACTTCAAATGACAAGGTCAGTGGTTCAAGCCTACCAGCAGCTCCACGGGAGAAAGATGAAGCTTTCTGCTCCCACAAAGATGCACAACCTGAAAACCCTGTACAGGGTCACTGTGAGTGGGAATCTACCCAACAGCACGCCACACCCTTGGCCCCTACCTGTATGATGTAAACTTCTTCTCTTGCGTTATACCAGATCTCAAATTTCTTACTGTCTCCCTTCACATTCTCTGTTATGCCAACAGCAGTCATCTGGCAATGACAAAATCGGGGGACATATAATAAGCACGACAGATGTACCAGCTTCATCTTTAAACAATGTCAGTGCACAAATGAAAGGAGAGACGTATTTTATGGGTGAGGGCCATGGATGTACAAAAAACCCACTGGACCTCTAGATTCAAATATGAGAGTTCGTGATCAAGGTTTTCATTCTAACCTAAAAACAAGTTAGAGTGTGTAATGGTTAAGGTTCTGTGTCAGCTCGACTAGACCAGGATATCCAGAGGTTTAGCAGTTGAGATGTGCTGGTTTCCATGGTGATGGAACCTAACACAGGCATCATTAACTCTATGACGAGCGGCCATGAGCAGCCAATCAAGTGAAGGGATGCTTCCTTGGGGGTGTGGTCTGCTCCCAAAATAATGAACATGTGGGCGGGACTCTCTCTCTTCTACTGGGGACCTGTGAGTCTGCAGTTGAAGGCATTTTCTTGATAGTACCCTTTATCTATGTATGCATGCATGTTAAGTATGTATGTATGTATCTATCCGCACACACATATACATTTACATGTTTCACTGGTTTTGTTCTCTAGAAAACCCACTACCATACACTCTTCCTCTCCGGGTCAGTGGATGAAATGTTTCGTTGTTGAAAACAGGCCCTTCACTTACATTTAAGGATTGTTTGTAGCTGTAGGAAGGGGCTTTCTCATACCCCTCTCCATTTTCCTCCCTCTTCTTACAGAAGAGCACTGCTTTCTCATGTAGGAAGAGGTGCCGTTGCATCGGCTTGAACCTGGCCAAGTCCTTCACCTTGCTGTGACCCTTCTTGTGGTCAGTCCAGACGCTGAAGGAGCCCTGCATCAGCAGCTTGCCCAGGTCATTCAGATTCCCCTGGAATATGTGGGAACAAAAGAGCTACGCTGCAAACTGAGGGTGGGAGCTGGCCAGGTTTACAGAGAGGCGAACACGAGTGAGAACAGAGGAGAAAGAAGAAGAAGAAGAGGACAATGATGACGAAGAAATACAGCAACCGCAGCAGGAGACACCATATGGGTATAAAAGGGAGAAAATAGAAATTTGATTTTTACTGCCGTTTAGTACAAATCACCGATCCACAAGCGGCATTGCAGACAACAGACTGTCCCCCTACCCAGTCTTCAAATGACACCTCATCAGGAGGAAAGGCAAGGAAATGCAGTGGTTCTCAAACCTGTCCCAGTTGGGCAAGACTGCCTGCACTAAGGGCACCATCATCAGCTTTAGACCCAGGGGGTCACTGGCTGAGATTTTCTACACATGAGCTATTTTCAGGGGGGTCTGCAGGCGTCAGCCTCAGCATTATCAGGGAGGTGGCTAATCTCAGACCCCATCCCACTTATTGAATGGAATCTGCATTATGGCAATAAAGTCAGGTGAATTGGACGTTCGTTATGGTTTAGGAAGCACAGTTCCGTGGGCCTAGGCTAGCTGCTCTTTAGAACGCGCCATCCAGCAGTGCTATTTAGCATATTCAGCCTAGACCTTCCCGAATGTAGCAGGGCTGTCCTCAGCTGGCCCCCAGCTGGCCACCCCTTACCCCCAGCAGCAGCAAACTCACGTCGTAGCCTGTAATGGCGATTAAGTGCATGGAGTCGTTGACAGCCTTGAGGATGCCGAGGATGGAGCTCAGCGCCTCCTGCAGGTCCTCAGCGCCTTCACAGTTCTTGCTGTATTTCAACATTTCCTGAGGGATGGGGGGCATGGGAGTGAGGGTGTGTGTCCACACCCATCACCGGACACAAATCCTCAGAACTCGATACGTTGCTGTTAGGTGCCAGCGAGTCAGTACCGATTCATAGTGACCCTCTGCACAACAGAATGAAACACTGGCCAGTCCTGGGCCAACCTCACTCTGTATGTTGTTGTTGTTGTTGTGAAGTGCCATCGAGTCAGTTCTGACCCCTAGCAACCCTGTATAGGGTTTCCAAGGAGCCACTGGTGAGTTTGAACTACCGCCCTTGCAGTTCAAACGGCTTTGCAGTCTGGTGCATTAACCCACAGCGCCACACCAGGACTCCTCTCTGTAAAGCTGTTTGAATTCTTAAACTCTGATATGAAAAGTACTCGAACAGTCTTCTGAGAATGCAGACCTTGTGTGGGATCCAAACACAGGCCCTTGCTACATTTAGTATGGCTTCTAAGGTAATCGGTCCCCTGGGAGGAGGAGGAGCACAAAGACAATCCCCCCCCATGGGCAGACTCTGGCCTGGGGCAGAAGCTATCCCGCCCCTCCTCCCCCATACCAGCAGTGTGGATGCTGTAAATCCAAACACCCAGAAGTGCTTGACAGGAGTACAGGTCAGTATGCCCACTGTCCCGAGGGTGGACATACACGCGCAGTTTTTTTTACGGGGTTGCTATGAGTCAGAACCTAACAACAGAAGGACTGTTAGGGACCCTCTGACTAATTTCTCCCAGTGCTCATCACGTCCCCACTTCTAAACCAACTGCTCTTTCATGTCAATGTAGACACCCTGGAAAATAATTCTAATGAAATATGCATATCTGTACCCCCATCCTTCATTCAGATGGGGTTCACGGAGTTGTCTGCTGCTGACAACCAAGGGGTACAGGGCACAGCCCAGTGCTGGACAGTAAGACTGATGTATGAAGACGTCGTAACAGCAGAGAGTGCTGGGAAATCCACTGGCACGTACGTTCCATGAGGGTGGCACCTGTCTGTTTTAATTGACATCTGTATCCTCCGGCCTTTAACACTGGCTAACCCGTAACATGGAGTCCTGGTGTAGTTCTGTAGGATAAACATTGGACTGATACCTGCAAGGCCGACAGTTCAAACCCACCAGGCTGCTTCCTGGAAACCCTACAAAGGGTTGCTATGAGTCAGGATCGTCTCTATGGCACTTAGCAACAACTCACAACACGGTTCATTGGTTGTTTAGTGAGCAATTTTTCACTAAAATGTGCCATGGAGTTGGTTCCCACTCACAGGGACTCTGCATAGGGTGTCTGAGGCTGTCAATCTTTATAGGAGTAGAAAGCTTCAACTTTCTCCCTTGAAGCATTTAGTGGGCTCGAACCATTGACCTTGTGATTAGCAGCCCAATGCATGATTCACTACTCACCAGGGCTCTTCCATGCTGGAAGCCCAATGCACCTCAAACACACCACCCATCGTCAGTGAAAGTTTATATGTTGCGATGACGTTTCAACAGAGCTTCTACACTAAGATAGACTAGGAAGATGACCCTAGTGACCTCCTCTTGAAAACCAGCCAGTGAAAACTCCTCAATCCCGATGGTCCAGTCTGCAACTCATCGTGGGGATGGCACAAGGTCCAGACAAGAGTTTCATTCCCTGGAGTATGGGGTTGCCTGAGTAGGGTGCCAACTTGACTGCAGTGAATGATAACACTCCTGATGTGGTGCTATAAGATCAACACTGGACTCAGAACCACAAGGCCAGCAGTTCAAACCCACCAGCTGCTCCTCAGAAACCCTGTGCAGGGTCACTCTGTGTTGGAACCAACTCAATGGCACTTAACAACATAAAGGCTGTAACAGAGTGGAAGGACGTGGCTCAGAGAAGGTAGCATTTGAAGGAGGCCTGAGGAGGGGAGGTCCAAGGGTGGGAAGAAGCCCAGGGCTCTAGGAGCAGCGTGGAAGTTCCGAGGGTAGTGGGCAGACACAGCAGTGAGTGTTGCAAAGGGTCAGGGAGGAGTCAGGCAGCAGATGAGCTGAGAGGTCAGGGTGGAGCCAGGCCACCAAGAGCTGCGTCCTCTCGGTTTAGATCTCAACCCCTGACGAGCACGTGACTTCCTACAGACAACCGCACCTTGAGTAACAGCTGATACTTGGTGATCCTCTGAACGGGTTTCAGCAAGTAAGAGTCCAGGCTCAGCTTGTGGTCCAGTTTCTTCTGGCATTCCTGTAACCAACGGGACAATCTTTGATTTAGACCATTCCCATTCTTCATTTAGAAAGCCAGCTAGTCAATGAAATTCTGTCCCAAGAAAGGTTCCGGAATATACCTGGAAAAAGGGACAGTCGGAACACTGTCGCCAGAGGCTCTCAGATCGAGGTTTGTTTTGACAATACTTCTCATAAATCTGAAAGTCTTCCATCTGCAGCCAGAAGAGACAAATATCTATGCATTAGAAAACGTCTTAGCAGGTAAAGCGTCTCATGTTATACAATTATCAACGCCTACTTTGGACTCCTTGTGTGGCGCCGCAGGACTGCAAATCACAAAGTCAGCAGTTCAAACCCACCAGCCGCTCCTTGGAAACTCTATACAGGCTTGTTACGAGTCAGAACCAACTCCGTGACACTTCCTAACAACAGCGATTTGGAAGCACATAGGGACCTTTGTGACTTGGTGTGGTTGGTTTCTGAAGGGATTTCCTAGTCCCAGCCTGCACTGCGTGGTTATGTAGTGGTGACAAGGCTCTGCTCCTTATGAGTTTGCCACAGGTATGTCTCATACTGGCAGGTTGCCCAACTGTGGCTTTATTTAACTTTGTTTACTTTTTCATTATTTAAGGGGAGGGGAGAAGGGATGAGTAGGTGGTGTTCAGGACATTTTTAGGGGAGGGAAACTATTCTGTGAATATAATGGTGACACATGACACTAGGTACCTGTCAGGTTCACAGGCAACATTGAACAACAGAAGACAGAACCCACACATGACCTATGACATTTAGGGGTCTGGGGGTGCAAACAGTAGTGCACTTGGCTGCTGATGGAAAGGTTGACGCTGGAGTCCGCCACTGCAGAGGTACCAAAGAAAAGCCTGATCGACTTCTAGGAAATCAGCCACAGGAGACCCTCTGGAGTGTAATTCACACATTGGGGACACATACGGGGGGCCATGAGTTCCAACTAACACAATGGCAACTGTTTCTGTTTTAATACTAAGATATTAATGTGGCCTCATCAGTTTTAACAAATGTACCACAAAAATGTAAGATGTCAACAATAGGAGAGATTGTCGTCGAGCCTGTTCTGACTCATAGCTACCCTCTCGAGGGTTTCTGAGGAGGAGCTAGTGGGTTTGAACTGCCGACTTTACGGTTCGAACCACCATTGTGATCCAGGGCATTATCCCCCAGTGCCATGTCTTTTTTTGTCTTTTTTAAAGCAGTTTTAAACCTTTTTGGTGTATGTTGTTGTTGTTTAGTTCCACCGAGTCAGTTCCAACCTGTAGTGACCCTGTACAGGGTTTCAGAGGAGCGGCTGGTGAGCTTGAACTGCCGACCTTGTGGTTCAAACAACTTTGCAAGTCCAGCATATTAACCACACCAGGGTTCATTCTGGCATATGGGGAACTCTCCATTTTTGACATAATTTTTCTGTAAATGTCAAATTGCTTTTTTAAAAAAAACAAACTTCCCCAGAAGTTTTGTAAATTACGTACGTCATTCTGTCAAAGCGTACAGCCTCCTGTGTGAACTGTAATTGCCCCCAAAGTGTTCGCAGGGCACACGAGGCTCTCAGGCTGTGGTTCCGGCTGGAGCCTGGGCAGGTGGCTTTCGGTGTGAACAGCCAGAATGGCCACTCCTCACAGCAGTGTCCACTACCCTCCTTCTCTGCCCCTCCCTCTGGCCTGGCCTTTCACTTTCTAAAGGAGGTTACCAAGCACTGTGCCTTTATTTCATTGTTTACTGTAGAGAGCTCCGGGGCTGCTGGCTAGGAAGCAGACATGAAGACAGAGCAGTGAGCTTTGAGTAGCCTATAGCTGGCAGTCTGACCCGCAAATGCTCCTGATGACAAACCTATGGTCAATATGAGACCAGAAGAAAGGAGGAATCATGTGGCAAACTACCTTTCACACCAGGGGCCCCATTGAACTCTGCCTTGAATCCCCACACAGTCCTTCCATTGAGACGTCACCTCACTCAACGTTTGGGCAGCTACGTGTTACTCCTACCAGAAGTTCATTTCCTAGGTCTGCTTTAGGCCGATTCCCTCTCTCATGATAAAACATTAGTCCCATAGCGCTGGGCTCTTTGTCACAGTTATAGGACACCGTTTTAACATATATGCCGGCCTGACACAGATAGCCTATTTTTAAAGACGGTTTCCTGAGATTAGCTGGTAGTGATGGGTCTCAAACGTGAGGGTACATCCTAGTCACCTAGCTTTGTTTAGAAACTCAGATTTGTTTTCATTTCTCACCAGAGTCTGATTCAGTAGGTCTAGGACAGGGCCTGAAAACCTGCTTTTCTAGTATGTTTCCAGGACACATCTGGGGGTTCTATGTTGAGAACTACCGATTTACAGAAATGATTCTTCCCACTCAGATTCTCCAATGAGAAACGTACCAATGGTTAGTCTCAAATGAAACCTATACCGTGCCCTTCCTTTCCCACCCTTCCTTTCTGCCTCTTGATCCCAATCATTTATAGAACACCTTGTTTCACTGTGCTTTGAAGATGCTTTTTTTTTTTTTTTTTAAACAAACTGACGATTTCTGACAGCCTTGCACTGAACAAAGTTATTGCTGCCCTATCTTTTCAGCAGCATGTGCTCACTTTGGTGTTTCGATGTCACATTTTGGTAATTCTCACAATAGTTCAAACCTTTTCACAATGTTATTGCAAACTTCATAGGGAACAGAACAGCGTAAACGTAACTTTTCTATACACTGGGCGACCAAAAACTTGGTGTGGCTCTCTTTACTACAATATTTGCTTTATAGCAGTGGTCTGGAACCGAACTGTAGTATCTCCAAAGTATCCTGTGTAAAGAGTCTCAAGCTCTGGCTTCTTTATTTTATGAGATTCACTAAAGCTTACTTCTGTTACTAAGTTACATTTTTCCATATTGTTAACTGAGTAGTCTGTGGCCATCTGCATAATGGAATAACATAAGATGCTGCAGAAATACTTCAATGTCCTGGTGACACACTGGTTAAGCGCTCAGCTGCTAACCTAAAGGTTGGTGGTTCTAACCCACCCATTGGCTCTACGAAGAAAGACCTGGTGAGCTGCTTCTGTAAAGCTTACATACTAGGAAACCTCTGGGACCTACTCTGCCACACGGAAGTGGTTATGAGTTGGAACCAACCAGTACCCAACAACCACAATGGTTTCCAAACTTCTCATTTTGTTTCTTCTTTCCAACAAACCCGTGAGGAAGGCAGGATGGGTACTGTTTAAAGATGAAAAAAGTAAGGCTGACAGAGGTCAAAGGACTCTAGGAGTGAGGTCAAAGGACTCTAGGAGTGAGGTCAAAGGACTCTAGGAGTGAGGTCAAAGGACTCCTCTTTCTTCACAAGGGAAAGAAAAATACATACGACCCAAGATCAGAATTCTTTTCTAAAACCTGCAACCCAAACTTAAGACACTATATAATTTCAGGATACATGAAATCTTTGTGTTTTATATATATCTGGTTGAATTCCTTATTGAGCTTTAGAAAATAAAACACCAAAACTGTCATCTTTTGGTCCTAGCAAAAAGTATGCTATCATCCCAGACAAATCAGAAACATTTGTCATTTCCGACGGTTAGAATGGGAATGCTACTAGAATTTTAAGTCAATGTTACTTAACAATACTGATAAATATGGCATGGCAATATACCCATTAAAAAAAATACATACCCTTTCTAGAAAACATCGTCCAACCAATTCTGGGCAGTCTATATAATTTTCCAGTTCTCTCAGGAATATTCTAGACAAAGAAAATCTGTGTCAGTCATAGGAACACAAACCAGAACAAAATGGCATCTAAAATAACAAATGAATAAAGATTTTCTGGAAGACTTATACTCTTTGCTCTGGATAAGTCAGGAGATGTGCGGCAACAAGACATCATCCTACTTCAGAAACCTGCAGTCTGTATTTGCCCCTCTCAGAAAGCCCGATTCCAGTAAAACTCTCCGATAAACAAACCCAAGCTAAGTGCTCAGCTGCTAACTGAAACGTTTGTAGTTTGAACCCACCAATAGCTACACAGGATCAAGACACAATGATCTACTCGTGGCAAAGATGTGCTGTGGAGTCGATTCCGACTCATAACAACCCTGTACAGGGTTTCCAAGGCTGTAAATCTGTACAGGAGCAGATTTCTCTCGCGGAGCAGCTGGTAGTTTCGAACTGCTGACTGTGAGATTAGCAGCCCAATTCATAACCACTATGCTACCAGAGCTCCTTTCCGGCAAAGATTACAGCCTAGAAAACCCTATGGTGCGGTTCTATGCAGAACTATGAGGTGGAATCCATTCAACCACACTCAACACCAAGAGCACATCTTTAAATCACTAGGTGCCTCTACATCCAGGGACTGTAGTTAGGAATCCAGTGCTGGAGCCCAGAGGGTGTTACTGGAACAGGTGACCTGTTCATTTTATTTCTCAAGGTTTTCTGTAACATCTGTGGAAAGAGGAGAATTCCTGGGGTTGGGTTCAACTGATGAGGTGCTTGTTCCGTCATAAGTGGGTGGGGTGGAGAGACCCTGATGACAGGAGTGAAAAACATGTGCTCAAGGAGAAATCTCAAATGACCCGAAAGATTTTTCAAGTCCAAAGGAGGGTGGGGCCCCAATTCCCATGATCTGCTGGGGTCCTTGGTCCTGAGCTGGGGTATGCCAAGCTTCCTGGACAGCAGAGCTGAGGGGCAGCGTGGGCTCACTCACACTTGACTTTCTTTTTAGGAGACAAAGTCATCTGCAGTACATTTATCTCTGACCTTCTGCACTCTGTCTTACTAATCATTCATCTTCCTTCTCACAAGTTACTATAAATTCTACTTACAGAAAAAAAAAGCAATAAAATTGCTAAGAAGAGCAAAGGATAAGTAACTCAAGGAGAATCATTGATAGTTTTCCAAGAACCACAAAGAGGCCAAAAACTAAGTAAGACATAGCGGGCAGAGAGCTCGCTTTTTGTTCTCAGGAGAGGAGCAAAGGGAGGAGAGAGACATTTCACGTTGCCATCTTTTACAAACCTGGACTTGGGAATAAAAAGGGGTCTTCTAAGAGGTCTGGCATTCAGTGCCTGCCTCAAGTGCCAAGTGTATATATTTCAAGGCAGTACTGACTTCTGCTTACCCAGCAGGTCAGCAGGAAAACAAGGGAGGCAGGGCTGGTTCTAGCTCTTCATATTGACAAGGCAGAGGTGCACTTAAGGAATGGTTCAGCGTCAGCTCCTCTGCGGTGAGCAGACGGGCTGACTGTATGGCTCATTTGTAATTCAGCCAGGCCCTGGGCATTAGTCAGCAAGGCATGGGTGCCATTCAAGCATTCAGAAAAAGTACCCAGGCAAACACCACACCTAGAATCCGTTACTTGTGCCTACAGCTTTTCTGTGAGTTTGCCATCCCCTAAGGGAGGAAGAAACAACAGATTTACCAGCAAAGCACAACCCAGGGAGTTCATTTTCATTTCAACTCCTTGAAGGCAGTTCCTTTGAAAGCTCATGAGCTCACTGAGCAAGTATGTATGAGAAGAGGTGGGGCCCCTAACCTGTTATGGAAGTGATAGATTTCTTCCATATTTCCAAATAAGACATCTTTCTTTTTTTGAAGGCTTGTTGAAATGAGATGCGTCATTAGAGGATTGTCCATCTCCGCAGCATAACCCTGTGAAAGAAAAGAGGTGGGCAAGGAAATTCTGAACCACAGCTGACAGACAGAGACACAAGTCACTTTAAAGGCAGCCCGATCTGTCTGGCAACGGAAGCCACCGATGTTGGTTTGACTAGTTAACAGAGCTGGAGTCTCTGGGTGGTACAAAGAGTTAACACGCTTGGCTGTTAACTTAAAGATTGGAAGTTCGAGTCCCTCTAGAGTCAGTTCAGAAGAATGGCATGGCAATCAGCTTCCAAATAACTCTGTGAACATGCTACGGTGCACAAGTCTATTCTGACACACCATGTTAGTCATCAGCGTTAGGTTAGATTAGCTCTGGTTTTTAAGAGCGAATCCGCACATTATTCACCAATCATTTGTAAGGTGATTATCTAAACAAACATCTACAACCTATAAAAAAATTCCAAATAGCACCAATATTTTCTAGGAATAGGAGTTCCATTCTTTTCCCCTTTTGAACTTTAAAAAAAAAAAAAAAAAGTATAGTATGGTGTGTGTATGTATATATATATATGAGTTTGGTGTGATGTTGTATGTTAATGTGCTAGACTGCAAAGTCGGTTTGTACCACAAGGTCAGTGGTTCAATCTCATCAGCTGCTCCTTGGAAACCTTATACTGCGTCGCTATGGGTCGGAACTGACTCGACAGCTCTTAACAACAACAACTTAAGAGTACGGTAACCTCCTTGGAGGTATAGATGAATGTTTTTCACTCAGTTTCTTCAATTTCTTTAAATATTTTTTCTCTCATCTCATTTTGACATTCCTATATCCTGGAGTCCTGGTGTGGTGCTGTGGATTAATGCGCTGGACTACAAAGTCAGTTTGAACCACAAGGTCGGCGGTTCAAGCTCACCAGCTGCTCCTTGGAAACCCTATACAGGGTTGCTATGGGTTGGAGCCGCCTCGATGGCACTTCTCAAACAACATTGTTGTTGTTGTTATGTGCCATGGAGTCAGTTCCGACTCATAGTGACCCTGTACAGGGTTTCCGAGGCTGTAAATCTTTACGGGAGCAGAAAGCGTCATCTTTCTCCCACAGAACAGCTGGTAGTTTCGAACCGATGAACCTGAGGTTAGCAGCCTGATTTGTAACCACTACACTACCAGAGCTCACAACAACACAGCATATATAAAGGGCACAAATCCTATATGTGTACCTTTATGACTTCTTACACATGTACACACCCATGAACACACATTTGGACCAATGCAGACAGCATTGACAGCTCCCAGCGGGTTCCTTGGTAACCCCTCAGTCAGTAAACCGTCACAGAGGTAAGCCCCATTCTGACCTGTTCACCCTGGACTCGTTTTGCTTGTTCTGGAAGCTCGTCCACATACAACAGAACAATATGTACTCTTTCTGAGTCTGATTTCATTTGCTCCCCATTGTGTTTGCAAAGTCCATCCACCAGCAGTGCAGGGCAGTAGTCATTCTCCCATTGCTGTAGGGGATAGTTCACTGTACACACAGAACTCGACCCATTTTATTCCCGGTCCTGTGAATGGCCATTTGAGTTGTTCACAGTTTCTGGCTATTATGAAGAAAGCTGCTAGGAACACTCTTTTAAGGGCATTGGGTGGACATAGGCACTACCGTTTGAACAGTATCTTAAAAACTAAACTTATACAGAGCGAAACTGATCCCAGTCTCTGGGGTGAGCTGTATGGGTACCCGGCTGCAGAACAGCCAGCTAGCTCCCAAGTGCAAGTTTACCTCCAGGACACAGAGGAGCTCCTCCACGTACACCCGTTCCGTCTCCAGCAGTTCATTCATCACGTGTCTGCGGCCAACATGGAGAGCAAACATAGCATTAGAGCTGGGAAGGACAATGGAAACACAATGGCCCAGACCCTCACTCATGGACAAGGAAATGGACATACCAAGAAGCAAATGACTTGTCCAAAGGCATAGAGGTTGGGGACAAATCAAAGCCCACAGCCTGGACTTGGCAGTGATTACCCTTCCCAGTGTGTATGCTGTCATCATCCATTACACAGTAGGGTTAATTTCCCCTTGTTTTCACTGACCAAGCCAGAACAGTCTAACAATCCATTAGGATGGGATTCCATACCCACCGCCTGGCTTTTTAGCGCTAATCCTTCATGCATGCTTCAAGCTCCCCTCTCTCCCAAGTTGCATATCCCCATCATCCCACCCCTCAAGATTCAACTCCTCCAGCCTTTGTAAGCATCTCCAAGTCTCTTCCACCTAGACGAACCTTATCCCTTTCTGCTTCCACAGAGCCTCCGGTGTTCTTGGCCACTTCCCAATGGGGCATTTTCTTCTCACATCCGAGACCAAGGCTGTGGCTTTAGCATTATTTTAGCTGCTCAAGTGCCGATCACCATTCTCTTGCATATATTGGTTGGTGGTTATGTGCCGTGGAGTCGGTTCCGACTCATAGCGACCCTGTACAGGGTTTCTGAGGCCGTAAATCTTTACAGGAGCAGAAAGACTCATCTTTCTCCCATGCAACAGCTGGTAGTTTCAAACTTCAGTCCTTGAGGTTCGCAGCCCGATTCATCACCACTACACTACCATAGCTTGTTTTGTAATAATGATTCGTTGAATTATTATGTACCCATAATATTCTGAAATCCCACAAGAGACATGGGTTTAAAAAGCAACTCTTCAGATCTTGTTTTATGGACAAGGGCCACATAAAAACTGCTGGTGATAAAGTTGCCTGTTTGCATACACAGAAATAAGGGAGTTGTTTTTGTGTTGAGCATGGTCAATTCAAAGCATTTCAGAACTTAAGTTCTGAAGTTAAGCGCTCGCTGTTAGACAGATGGTGACTGAACCCACCAGCTACTCAGCGAGAGAAAGGTGAGGCTGTCGGACTCCGTACACATGACAGCTTTGGAAACCCTACTAGGGCAGTTCTACCCTGTTCTAGGAAGTCGCTGGGAGTCAGAGCAGACTGGGCAGCGATGGGTTTTTGGTTTTGGTCATGAGCCCCTCAGATATGTGGCTCCAATTTGAACTAGGCAGCAGGGGGTGAGGAGTCTGATGGAACACTCTCCACCTCAAGTCCTTGAGCAGAAACGGAAATCTCTTCTTTTTTCTTGTCTCAGGGCCTTTGCTCCTCACCTCATTCTGGAAGGCTTTCCAGCAACCTTCAGTTCATGAGCTTCTGTGAGGAGCCAGAGACAACAGGACACAGTTCCGGCTCTCACTTTATCCTGATTCCAGATTCCACTCTCCTCTGAGCCCTCCAGAGAGATATGGCCAGGGATGGTTGGGGAAATCCCTCAAGAAGATACCTTCCTTTTTGTATACATTGTTGTTGTTAAGTGCCTTCGAGTCGGTTCCGACCCATAGCGACCCTGTACAGGGTTTCCGAGGGTGTAAATCCTTACGGGAGTAGAAAGCCTCATCTTTCTCCCGCGGAGCGTCTGGTAGTTTCGAACCGTTGACCTTAAGGTTCGCAGCCCGATTTGTAACCACTACGCATACCCCCCTCCAAAAAAATAAACCAAAAAACAGAGGGAATGGAAGCAAATCCTGTTGAATGATGATGCACGGAGGGGACTGTAATCATTGCAATGAAACAGTGAGTATAAAACTGATGTTCTCCCATGTAAACTATCACTCAATTCACAATAAAAACTTAAAAATTGAATACATGCATAAAAGTTCAGTAATTAAACTTTCCAAAGGAGAGGAATAAATATTGATATAGTTAATTCCAATCCTTTACTCGATTGGATTACGTAGTTCTATTTCACTGTGAATAATAATCAAGAAAATTAACTTCTGAATTATAATTTTTCTCATGAATTCAATGAAATCCATTTATTTGAGAGAAAAAAGATATGTGTCTGTCTATATCTGTTGTAAAGTACTTAGGATCACTTTTTTTTTCACTCCTAATTTTGGGGTTGATGATGATCAAAAGCAGGAAGTTGGGTCCAAGTTTCTGTGGGCAGACACCATCAGTATAGGTCTTAGAAACAGAAACTCCACAGAGGTGTCTCTCGGCAGAGCAGGCTGAGTGCTGTGCCCCACTGTGTTGTCAGCCGTGTGGTGCCCTGAGCTCTGGGAATGGATGCCCCAGTGTTTCTAATGGGGATTTGGCTTCTTTTCCATTTGACACTTTGTGCACCCACTTCCTGGTCCTGGGCCAACAGTCTTTCTCGCTTAAAAGTAAAAGATGTCAAGAAAGGGAACTGCTTTTTGGGACATGCTACTATGTACTGGTGTGGCACTGTGGGTTAATGTATCAGACTGAAAAGTTGTTTGAACTGCAAGGTCGGTGGTTCAAGCTCACCAGCTGCTCCTTGGAAGCCCAATACAGGGTCGCTATGGGTCGGAACCGACTCAACTATTTTTCTGACTTTGGGGACTCAAGAATTCCAGGCTACAAAGGGAATCAACAGGGTCTTTTTGTTAGAAAACGACATCCTGTTTAAAGGGCTACCTCTCAGTGAGATGACAAGACCACACAGCTACCACAGTGCCCACAGACACACATACCAATGGGCATGAAGATGGTATGTGGCTTAGTTCTGCTATCCATGAGGTTGACCAGAGTTCAAACCAACTTGATGCCAACTAATAACAACGAAGGTGACTGATATTCTAGAACCTTGCTGTGCACTACAGTAGCCATTGTTGTTGTTAGGTGCCATCGAGCCAGTACTGACTCATAGCGACTTTATGCACAGCAGAATGAAACACTGCCTGATCCTGGGCCAACCTCACTACTGTTGCCACGCTTAAGTCCATTGACACTCCCACTTGGCCAATCCATCTCATTGGGGGGGGGTCTTCCTCTATTAGTCATACATAATTTAATTACACTTGAATAAAACAAAAAATTCCATTCCTGAGCCATACTAGCTACATGGCAAGTGTGCGGCAGTCACATGTGGCCAAAGGGATACCATTTTGCACAGGGTATTTCCACCATGCAGAACGTTGTACACTGGAAAGCTTGCTCTAGAACTTTGAATGCTAATGTTGATGGCAAGTAGAGAACTTTATGAATGACTAGAAGCATTCTTTTCTTATAGCTCCATAGTATCATTTCTGTGACTTCCTTCCTACACTGACCATCTACCTAAAGCTGTTATTGAGAATGTAGCCATGTATGAGCTAGGAGATGCTAAGGGATAAGAAATGAAACACATGTTGCCGGGTACTCGGGTATGTGGGGGCTGGAATTCCATGTGGGTGGCACCATCGCCACACTGCAGGACTGTCAGTGGCTTCTCTCACTTGTTTTTTCTCGTGCTTCAGAGAAGACGGTCCTTGCAGATGCTCTAGGAGCACAACGTGCCATGCGCATGAGGAAGAGGCAGGAGTTACATCAAGGGAGATACCACTGGGGTGGGGAAATTGATCTGGACGGTGAAGGAAGGGGAGGATTGTGACAGGCAGCGATGGGAGGCAGAGGAGGGGAGAGAGCACGTTCTAAGTACAGATCTCACAGTGTGTGAACACAGTACGGTGGCAGGAAGTGAAGTGGGGAACAGACCTGTTTGGGTGAGCTGCAGGGTCTGAGAGGGGAAAGGTAACACTGCAAAAGATACTCAATGCCACGTTTCAGATTTAGGTCTTATCCTCCGAGGAGTGGGCGTGGGGCAGGTATTGGATGCTTCCACACAGGGGAAAAGTTCAATCATCATAGTTTTCTGGAAGGAGCGAAGTGTTAAGGACTGGCAAGAGGTTGACACCAAAGGTAGGGAGCAAGACAGGCTGCTGTGGAAACAGCCTAGGTGTCTAACACAGAGATCTGAAAAACACAACAAAAATGAAGAGGATGGTGCCTACCTACCACTACCAACTGCTCTGAAAGGCACTGCATTAGAAGGTCCGAATAGAGTGAGAGAAAATATGGAACAAAACCAAAAAGTGATAAACAACAACAACAAAAACAGGCTTACAGGTCAGAGAGAGAACGGAGGAACCTGAGATCACAGTCTTTGATCACTCTTGAGGACAACACTAGAAAGGTATGCTCACCATGGAATGGTCAGTCATTTAGGTTCAAAACAGCAACATTTGCCTAAGATCAAAGATGACAAGGGATGGGAAGTGGGGTGGACTGGAAACAGGAACCGCAGGGAGGAAGTGGGATAACTGTTGCTGCACGGAGGGAATTGCAGGCTTTAAGAAACAAAGTGTATGATTTGTTGAAGGTAAAACTGATGATCTTCTCTGTAAACCTTCACTCAGTCAATAAAAGAAAGTTAAAAAATGAAGAGGATGGAAAATAGAAGTTATGAAAGGAGGTGTATGGGGCTGAGTGATATTGGTGGACGTGTAAGAAGGCAAAGTAGGGAGAGAGATTATAAAGGAGAATTAAGGCATAAGGTGGGGAGGCACAAGAGAAGCAAAAAAAAAAAAAAAAAAAAGCTCCAAGCTTCCAAAGTTGGCGGACAGGAGGTCAATGTTCCACTGAAGAAACAGGATGGAGACTGGAAGTCGTCCTGGGGGTGGCAAGAATGGCCACAGGGCTAGCCTTGGACACGCTGACGTGAGTGGGTGAGGAGGATTTAGCACAGAGCCCCTTCTGAGTTTGGTCTTTGCAACCTGGTGTTTCAGTGAAGGGAGACTATGAGCCATCTAAAATTCCCAAAACACACACGGGGCACAGTGTAACTTCTAGAAAAATGCAAGTATTTTGTCATTTTAGATGCAGATATGCCAAACAGAATGTATATTTCATTTCTCACCATCCCAAAATATATGTATGTGGGCGTATGTTCCACTATGTACTTGCCCCTAGTATCAGTTTTGTTCTTACTTTGCAGAATGGGAGTTGGTGTTTTGTTGTTCAGTGCCACTGAGTCAGTTCTGACTCATAGTGACCCTGTATAGGGTTTCTGAGGAGCAGTTGGTGGATTTGAACCGCTGACCTTGCAGTTCAAACTGACAATGCAGTCAAGTGTTTATCCCTCAGCACCACTCCAGGACTCCAGAATGGGAGTCGGTGTTTTGTCATTCAGTGCCGTTGAGTCAGTTCCGACTCACAGCAACCCTGTATAGGGTTTCCAAGGAGTGGCTGGTGACTTTGAACCACCAACCCTGTGGTTCAAACCCATGTATCTCACAGTGCCACACCAGGACTCCAGAATGGAAGTAGAAGTTAATATATCGTATTGTCTTTGGCTCATTTATATTCAGAGAGTCTCCTCAGTCAGAGCTGTGATCTGCATGCTTCCTTCTTGTACTATCTTGAACTCAAAGTCATTAAGTAATGATGGCAAAATGGCGGCAGGAATCTGTCCACTCACCTTCGTAAAATGGCCAAGCTTTCTTCTTCATCCCCTGTGGAGCCGCTCCTGGCCTGCTGGCTCTCACTCATTTCACTCTGAGGAAAGAAGAAATGCAGTGTATCATCAAGTTTTGCAAAACAAGAAGCCCCCACCTACCCCACCTGCCATTTTGATTTCTTTCTTTTTTTTAATTTAAAGCACCAAAGTCCATTCTTATTTTCCCTCCGGGAAAAGACACGAGGTGAGGTGCCGGCCCATGTTTGTATTTAGAGATCATGTGGGGCAGGGTGGTGCCAGGAGTGTGCAGGTGGGCAGGAACTGTGAGGCTGGCACCTTGGGTCACTGCACATGTGCTTTACAGGTAGTTCTGGGCAGGACTGTTCAGTTTGTCCAAGGGGCTCTGAGCGTGAGGGAGCAGCCTCAACACTCTCACCTTAGCTCTTCTGTAGTTGACTCTTCGGAGCACATTGCCTTCAGAACCGGAAGAGTTCTCCGAACCTCTCCGAATGCCTAGGTTGGAAAGAAGAGGATGTCTTATCAGTTCACACGTTACCACCAGGAGGGGACAACCCTGTATCTGGATGTGTCCTGACTTTGCTGTTGTTAAAACTTTCAGAGGAAGCAAAAGCAGCAGCTCAGAGAAGGATCAGAAAAGCCCAATAAAAATAAAGAACATGGAAGCTGGGAGTTATGTGACGAGGCGAATGGAGCTGGGTTTCTTTTCTTTGAAAAAGACTTGAGATTGATTTAAAGAAACAATATAAACAATACCAAACAAAGGAGCTCTGGTAGCATAGTGGTTACGAATTGGGCTGCGAACCTCAAAGTCAGCAGTTCGAAACTACCAGCTGTTCTGCAGGTGAAAGATGAGACTTTCTGCTCCCGTAAAGATTTACAGCTTCGGAAACCCTATATTGGGTCACTGTGAGTCAGAACCGACTCCATTCTCACAGATGGAAAAGGGCAGGGGATTCTGTTTCTGGAAAAGGTGACAAAGGATAGAGACTCAACATAAAGGTTTTTCTACTCTAGAAAAACAAGTCAGAACATAACGTCTCCTTGGTTCCAAGAAGGCCTTGGTGGGAGACAGGTGTCTGGCTCTCAGGGGTTCTTACAAATTCATGAATGGCATTTGCCAAAGTCCTGAAGAAAAGAGCAGTAGATGTTTCCAACCTGAGTAAATAGTCAGTTTCCTGTGGACAGCAAAGAGTATCCAAGAGGAGGCCAGGTGTCCACCTTGGCATTAGAAAATGGGTTTGGGATGGTACCAGGAAGAGGTGAGTTAGTCAGCCAGACCATGGTGCACATGAAAGTGGCCCCAAAACATTTGGCTATGGATCCGTAGGACATGAAGAACCCAAAAAGGCTGTGATAATCTGAATTAAATTTGAGGAAAATTATTTCAGCAATAGCATTGAGGATGGACTGGCTTGGGGAGAAGTTAGGATTGAGGAAATAATGAAGGCAAAGTTCCTCAAACAGTAAATGTTTTTGTTTCTTTTTTTTAAATCACAACCACTGACTTCTAAAAGGAGCTCTCGTAGTGTAGTGGTTACGAGTCGGGATGCTCACCTCAAGATCAGCAGTTCAAAACTACCAGCTGTTCCGCGGGAGAAAGATGAGGCTTTCTGCTCCTGTAAAGATTTGCAGCCTCGGAAACCCTATACAGGGTTGCTATGAGTTGGAACCGACTCCACGGCACATAACCACCATCACCACTGACTTCTACAGGGAGCATCGTGGCTCAATAAGATAAGCACTGGACTGCGAATCACAAGAATGGTAGTTCGAGCCCACCAGCTGCTCCACTGGAGAAAGATGAGGCTTTCTGTTCCCACAAAGATTTAAAGCCTCGAAAACCCTATACAGGGTCACTATGCGTCAGAACTGACTTGATGGCACTTAACAACAACAAATTTCAGCTGTTGTGGTACGGAAGCAGCTGCACACAATGTCTAAGCAAATGAGAGTGGATGTGTTCTACTACATTTACAAAAACAGTCGATGGGGGTGGATTTGGCCCGCAAGCCACAGTTTGCTGGTCCCTGGACTAGGTCCTAGTATTAGGAATGGAAAGGAGAAGAAAGTGGCAAGAAAATTATTCATATGTTGTTTCCTCCACTTTGCCAAACCCCTCTGCCTCAAAGTCACTCAGTAGTGACACCTCCCAGCTTGAAGGAACGGATATGGTGTGATTGTAGCGTACCTGGGGAGGGGCAGGGAGACTTGGTAAATGCCTCCGGTCTGGGGGCCACAGGCTGCACTGGTCGAGTCTGCTTGGCTGCTAGCTTCTTCAGGCTCACCTGTCTCCTGTGGAACATCTCCTCCATGCTATCTTGTTTCTGGAAGACCTTTTGCACATGTTCCTGAAATGACACAATATTGTTTCACATGCTCATTAGTAAAACAGCTAATAGGCACTGGTGTTAGCAGAAATGTTAAGAGTCTTGCACACAACTGCCTCAAAATGTATTTAAAGATTTTTCATAATGCAATTGTCCACTGACAATGGGGCAGAGTTCTGTCTGGTTCCGGGGTGGTGAGGGGTCTAAACCCCATTTAAGAAATGCGTGATGTCAGGTCTAGAGAGAGGACAGCTTGGTGGGAGGTACACCACAGCCATCTTTAACCTTCTGAAAGACCTTCTAGAAGCAAGGATAAATACCTCTGGGTTGCCTCAGAGGGTAGAATTACGACAGCTAGTTAGGAGTTGGATTTCAGTTCAATATCAGGAAGAGCTGTGGCGTTTTAGTAGAAATGGTTACTTCATAGAGAAGAACATGTTCCATCGTATGTTTAAGCAGAAAGCAGGACGATCACCTTTAAAGGGACGGTATGGAAACTGCAGCTCAATGACCTCCCGACCCTAGCATGTCCATTACTTATTAAAAACTCCTTTAACAAATTTTCAATGTCATGAAAACTCATTTCCCATCATTCACAACAGCCCTTCCCTGTCTGTCAAGGGAGGCTTGTGTGCTGCGGTGACAGCTGTCAGCTGAGCTTCCAGACTCAGCTGCACAAGCAAGACAGGCCTGGGATCTCCTCCTGAGAGCCAGCCAATGAAAACCCCGTGGAGGTGGAGCACAATGGCTCAATCCACAGAAATCCTGGGGAGGGTGCAGGACCTGGCAGCGTTTTGTTCCATTGTGCATGGGGTCACCATGAGTGCCTGGATGGGCGACTCCACGGCAGATAGCAACAACAACACAACAACTGATTTGCAATGATGCAAAGGTAGCATTACCATTAGGTCTTGGTTGAGGATGGATTCATATTCCTTATAAATTTTACTTAGTTCCTGGATTTTATTTTCTGCACCAGTCTCCAAAAACTTCTCAATTTCCTGAAGGGCTGCCTCAGCGCCATCCTGTGACTGGCATTTGTCCACAGGCTGCGAAGCCAGCAGGTAAATTCCCTCGTCACACCATTTCATGGACTAGAAACATAAAGCATAAAAAAAAGGGAAAATAACCAAAAGACCGTACAGTTAGAAGTTGTATCTTGTCTGGAAGTGTATTCGGCTTGAAGGTCCCCATTTCACTTGACAAATGTGTTCTGTTGACTCTTATAATTTTGGAACTATGAGAAGAACTTGCAAAGGAGATAGGATTCTTATGATTCAGTAGTGAGTAATTGTTATCATGACTAATTGAAACTGTCACAACTGTAAAGGTAGAAGTTCTGTAACAAAAGGGTGGGGTAGTTAATCTTACAGTCCAGGAACAGAGGACGATAGAGCCATCAAGGGAGAAGAGCATGAGGAGAATGTGTGACCTATCCAGAGAAGCAGCGGCACCAGAGATGGAGACAGGATGAAGACATGGAGAGAGAGAGCAGTTGAGGACTCTAGACTCATGGGAAGAGAGGGACTGCGAGCTGGTGGTCAAGAAGGCAGGCTTGCAGAATGTGCCATTTGGTTTTTTAAGTTATTATACATTCCTGTGTGTTTTTTGTGTGCCTCAAAACAAAACAACAGAGGAAATAGAAGCAAATACTGTTGAATGATGATGCATGGAGGGGATTGTAATCATTGCAATGATACGAAATACGATAGGTGAGTGCAAAACCGATGTTCTCCATTGTAAACTATCATTCAATTCACAAAAAAACCTTACAAAGAACTTGCAAAGGAAGGAATATAGCTTTAAAAAAGCCAAGATTATTATATAGACCTGAAAAGATTCAGAATTGCCAGGGTGGTGCAAGTCGTTAAAATGGTCAGTTGCTAAAACAAAGGTTGACGGATCGAGTCCATCCAGAGGCACCTTGGAAGAAAGGCCTGACCATCGACTTAATAGAAAACCAGCCAGTCAAAACCTCACTGAGCACCTCTGAACTCTGACACACATGAGGTGGCCATGAATCGAGGATGACTCTGCCAACAATTGCTTTCTCTTTTCTTGGACTACAGTAAAATTTACGAGCAGCTGGTCAGGGAAATAAAATTCAATACAGTTAATTAACCAGGATATTAAGTTTCTGGTTCTTTTATAGAAATCATTAGTTGTAGTTATCGAGTTAGAAACCATAAAAATAATATATCAAGACAAGGCCATCGACTCCAATGAGAAAGAGGACTACAGAGAAAGTGTGACGTTTTCACATAATGAATCCGGTGCTATTCTGACGCTAAAAGGATCACGGGTTACATGAGATGAAGAATCTGGGTTGCAGTCGCAGGGGAGGGGAGATCCAGTTTCAAGCCACGCCTACCGTCTCTAAGAGGGAGGGAGGGGGGACTCCAGCTTCAAGCCACGCCTACCGTCTCTAAGAGGGAGGGAGGGGGGAAAAAAATCCAGCTTCAAGCCACGCCTGCCGTCTCTAAGAGGGAGGGGGGGTGGGTGGAAATCCAGCTTCAAGCCACGCCTACCGTCTCTAAAAGGGAGGGAGTGGGGGATCCAGTTTCAAGCCACGCCTACCGTCTCTAGGAGGCCGTGTAGTTCCAGGGACTTGTTGAGCAGATTCCGCCTCTTCCCAATTTCCGCAGCAAACTGGTCACACAGGTGCTGGAGCTCGCTGCACTTGGGGTGGATCGAGTCCACAGCGTAATGCTTGTTCTCAATAAGTTGGGTGCCCTCTAAGGACAGGGCTCGGGCCTTTTCCACGGACGCCTGCGTAAAAAAGTCATCCCCAGAAAAATCGATTCAGGTGTTATTTTCTGCCACACATTCAGATTTCAACTTCGAGCTGTTTGGTGTGCACCAGGTTTATTTTTGTGATATGCAAACGGAGCTACTATTTTCGGCAAGAGATTAAGCAAGCTAATTGTAACGGGATCTTTGTTGCAGAAGTCCAGGGATGCATATCATTTTTCTTTGTTTACTGCCCTGGGGTAGCTGAAATACCACCAGGTTCCAGAACCTACTCTGGAGGCAAACACTTTTGCGTGTTTCCAAGAGACAAGCAAACTCACTGCTCATTCTGAGTAACCAGACACAGGGGGACAACGGTTTTTTGGAAATCAATGGTCAACAAGCAATTAATTGACAAGAGAGGGAGCTGATGCACACGCCCGGCCTTGTCAGCCGTGGCTGCTGTAAATGGCAGGGACATTTGTGTGCTTAGAGGGTTGGATGGAGAGCTGTCTCCACCTGGGGATGTCAGTCACACACAATGGCCGCTTCAGGTGCTGGTGGGAATGAAGGGTCTTCACCAAGGAGAGAGTGAAAACCACACTGTTGTTTTTCTAAGCAACACTTGGTGTTGTCAATTCTGCCTCCCTCCTCGAAACACATTAAGCCATAACTTTTTGCATGGGCACCTTCTGAGATCCTTACATTGCATTTCTCCTCAAAGTTAGCAAGGTCTTTCAAGAGGTGTTCTACATGTGCCAGGCTGTTGCCCACATCTGTGAAGGTCAGGATCTTCCGGGACACGACATCTAAGGCAGCTTTGACCTGGAACGGAGGAAGGAGGAATGAGAGCAGGGTCCCACTTCAGATCGCTGGAAAGAACATCCAATAATGGAGTCGCAATAACAAGGAAATTTACTACCAGGCATGGAGCTACAAGGAAGGAAACTTCAGGTGAAGACAGGTACAAAATAAAGGCAAACTGTTCCACAAGTAAGAATCACACTAGTAGTGAGTTATCACCTGGGGAGCTTTGGTTTACTTGGTTTGAGGCCATTCATGAAAACCACGCTCAGGTTAAACACTTAGAAACCTGCTGGAGACACCATTGGTACCACTTCTGATTTAACTAGTGAGGTCATTTCATTTCCCCATGCCTCTGCTTATCAACCATAAGGCGGGAAGACCACCTGCCCTATAAGGCCCCAAATATCATGAGGAGAAAACAAGACTGCTCAAGTCAAAGTTGAAAAGACTGCAAGATTATAAACATCAAGGTGTTGGCAGTCGTGATGCTATTCTTCTTGGGTCATGAGATTTCCACAGTCCATTTCATTCCAGCTTACTAATAACTTCCTAAAAAATATATATTTTTGTATATTAGTGAAATAGACAAGGAGCCCTGGTAGTGTAGTGGGTTCTGAGCTGCGCTGCTAAGCACAAGGTCAGCAGTTTGAATCCACCAGTGGCTCCACAGTAGAAGGATGAGGCTTTCTGCTGCTATAGAGATTTACAGCCTGGGGAACCCTATACAAGGTCACCATGTGTCAGAACCCACGTGGTGGCACACAACTGCCACCAGTGAAATAAAACATTTCAACAATTTTTACATGTGTAATTTAGTGACAGTAATTATATTTCCCAAGTTAGATAGCCAGCATCACCCATTACCAGATTTTTTTTCCATTGTTTTCGTAACAGAAATATTTACAGAAAGTATTTACAGAGCCCCTTAAACAATACCTCATTTGCTACCTTCACTTGTCCCTGGTACCCACTACTGAAATTTGGTCTCTTTACATTGACCTATTCTGGTGACTCCATATCACTGGGACCATACAGTACTCATATTTGTCCTTTTGTGTCTGCCTTATTTTATTCAGTATAATGTTTTCAAGGTTCATTCATGTTGTAACATGTATTTGAACTTCTTTCTCTTGATGGCTAATATCCCATTTAAGGAGCTTTGGTAACGTAGTGGTTACAGGTCGGGCTGCTAACCTTAAGGTCAGCAGTTCGAAACTACCAGCTGTTCCATGGGAGAAAGATGAGGCTGCTTCTGCACTTGTAATGATTTACAGACTCACAAACCCCTATACAGGGTCACTATGAGTTGATACTGACTCCATGCCACATAACCAACTCATGTCCCATTTATGGCTAGATCACATTGTTTATCCATTTATCTGTTGATAGGTGGGTGGGTTGTTTGTGTCTTTTGGTTACTGTGACTAGTGCTCCAATGAATACTAGTGCACACGTTTTTTTTTACATTCTTGCTTTCAATTTTCTTGGGTCTGTATATAGGAGTGGAATTGCTGGGAAGCCTAGCATGGCGCAGTAGGATAAGCACTAGACTGCTAACCATACAATTGTTAGTTCAAACCCACCAGTCACTCCTCAGAAACTCTATATCCGGTCATTATGAGTCAGAACTGACTGGATGGCAAACGACAACAATGGTAACCCTATGTCTAACTAATTTTTAATATTTGACATTTATGACAGTGGCAAGAAAATATAGGGTTTCACCTGCTGCTCCTGGGAAACTCTATATAGGATATTGCTATGAGTCGGAATTGACTCCATGGCACTTAACAATAACAACAACAACAAACAAGTGATTTAAAAAAAATGTAATAATAACTCTTGAAATATGAGCGTTTTTATCATTAGAAATTTGCCTAAGAATGGACATGGGCCCACCTTCTGAAAAAGAGGTGAGCAGAAATCTTTCCGAGAGTTTCAGTGATTGTTCTGGCTACCTAGACCGAAGTACCCGGAGGGCAGGAAGACCAATTCATTTTCATCGTTAATTCCCCACTGCGGGTCACTCAGTACCCAGGACACGTGAATGACTCGTTCCACTTCATGGCAACTCAAGTTACACTGAATTGACCACAACTTGTTAAAGACCTCAGCCTCCACCTCACGCTGTTTCATTTTCTTTGTGACTTTTGCACTGTGAACTTACCTTGTTTTAATGTTTGTTTACTTATTTAGGGTCTGATCCCCGGCCCTCTTCCATCTCAACTAGAACAGGAGCTCCAGGTGCACAGGGATCTAGGTCTCCCCAGTCCCTAGACTTATCATGTTATTACCGAGATTTGTACCTGGGACAAATTAGGTGCTCAAGATTGGTCTAAGGAATGACAGTTATTAAGGATTTTTTTTTTTTTTCCTTTCAGCCTGAGGTCTGCCAAATCATGTAGTATTAAAGCAGTTGGCAACGTTGAAAACGCCCTACTTGGCCAACACACCCAATTGGCCTGGTCTCCCTCACTACAGGGTCAGCAGAGTCAGAGCAATAAACTCACACTGATGGGGGCTTGGCAATGATCTGAGCCAGTGAAATGAGTAATAAGACAATAGAGGAAAAGGCCAAAGTGAACATTCTGGGACCACACTCCTTTCAGATTAAAGTGCTTGGAGAAGATAAGGTATCTTCTCCCCCACAAGTCCTTCTTAATGAGACTCAGTGTCATCGGGATGTACCCAGGTCTTTCTCTCAGATCTAAACTCCATCTCTTGTAACAGATAAGACTTTATTGTTGTTGTTTTCAGGGAAGAAGTTTGGGAGGCTACAAGATTTATTCTACCTCATTCCAAAAACCCTCTCAGACTCCTTCTAATATGTACAAGGTCCAAACACTCCACGTAGCTCTCAGCTGTTGAGGTTTAGAGGCCAGAGTTTAGCACAAGCTCATTTTGCACATGGATTCATTTCACTGCTCTTTGAGGGAGACCACCATTTGGAGATGGTAATAAAAGTCCAGAGTTAATCAGGAGCTGACATTCCCATTGTGTCATATCATTCACGTTGTTCAGGAATAAATGTGATGAGTAAGCATTTAAAAACGATACAATCAAACTCAGACTATGAAATGATTTCACCCCGTCCCCCCCTTCCCCCTCCCGTAAATGTGACCTTTGTCTTCATCGCTGTTGGCTTATGTCTCTGGACAAATTTGGGAAGTTTTCAGCCACTACTTTTTTGAATACTCTTTCAGTCAGTCCCACGTTCTTCTCCTTTCCTTCTAAGTCTAGGTTTCCCTTGAAATGAAAGCTAATCTTTTGTTATTTTCTCACAGGTCCCAAAAAGTCTCTTCATTTTTTCCAGTCTGTGTTCTCTCTGTTGTTGTCCATAGTGGGTGATTTCTTTGGTTAATGTTTTGTGCTGTTCATTTGACTTCACTGATTCTTTATCTTTTTCTCCATTGGGCTATTGAGCCATTCTTTCACGAAGTTTTATATTTCAGCTATTACTATAGCTCTTACCATACAGAATCCAAGGCACAGCTGTATCTTGTACTTTTGTATATCCTAGGTTCTGTGTCTGGCACACGATAGGCCCCCAATCAAGGTGTGTTGAAAAATAGCATGCACAAATGAATATAAAGTAAGAACCAGGCTCCTTTACTTACCCACAATTAAACAGAACTACATGCCAATAAACACATATTAAATAACCTTTTACATTTAATGATCTATCATATATTTCAAGGTTTAACCCAATTTAATCTTTGTTGGTTCAATGTGGCTAATAGAGACTATTTTATACCAGGGCTTCAATTTAGTTCAAAACAGTTCAACAATTTTCATCATAAACAAGGGCTGTGTACATATTGCATAGCAATTAAAGCTGTTACCTGTGGTATTTTGACTTAAGTAGATAACAAAATAGGGTCTTGGTGTGATGTTGTAGGACAAGCACTTGCTAATCGCAAGGCTGGTGGTTCAAATCCACCAGCTGCTCCTGGGGAACCCTATACTGGGTTGCTATGAATCAGGACGGACTCAGTGACACTTTACAACATCAGGAAATAAACATTTGTACTTCACTTAAGGAAGGCGGCCAACCACTCCACCTTGAATGTGTTTGTTCTTTAGGACCCTGCCAATAATCCAACCTCCTGCGTCAGGGTCCTGAAACTTTCAGGAGAAAGGACTGTGGTAGAACCTTGGAAAGCAACACACCTGCAAAGCAGCTCAGCCGGCTGCCATCTTTGAATGAAGCACAGATGTTTGTTTCCTACTTGGCTCACGATACCATGGGCAATAGACTTGTTGCTATGAAACTCATATACAGTCCTTACTTATAACGGCAATTGCTGAACCATTCTGGACTGGTTTAAAACCCCATTCAGTACTACACCCCAGTCAACTGTGCTACGACCAGCATGTGGATATAGTAACAACACGGTACACTCGGGCATTTGTTCACTTTCTGTAGCCAGATCACTCAAGTGCCCATCGAAAGGTCCTCTCAAGGCCCTGGTCTACTCACCTCACGAAAATTCTGCTCAAAATGCCGGAGCTGCAGACACTGTTCGAGTTTTTGCTGATGCTTTGTCCAAAACTCATCAAAGGCAGCCTCGGTTTCATTCAACTGGGCAAGGAGCCTAAGGAGAAAGCCGAGATGCAGCTGTACTCTGGTTCAGACCGTCTCCCACGGGTGCTGGGAGTAACACATGGAGAACTTGAGCTAAGAATCATCATCTCCACTGAGAAACTGGGTGTTCACACTGATCATGCAGCTCTGTTTCCACAGCCTTTAACACCCTCACATGCAGCTTAAGCTCTGTCACCGAATTACAGAAGTTTGCCCTTCACGGAGGGTGTCTTGAGAGATCAATTCATGAGCAATAGAGAGGCATTTTGGACAAAACAGCTGGTTCACCCCCTGGCTCTCTTCCAGTCCTCGATCCCCTCTATACCACGACATGCTGGGTGGTACTAGAGCAGGCTTGTAGTAAACCAGAGTCAAATTGAGTTTGTTAATTTTGAAAAAGTCAAAATGGCAAAGGATTGGACTTATTTCTAACTTTGACTCAGAGATGACGGTAAACAGTACAATTCTACAATGAGTGAAGGTGAATAGGTATCGCCAACATTCCTGTACATTTGTTCATGGGTACTGAGCACTTCTGTGTAACCTGAACTGTGTTCAATATCCAACATGCATTATCCATTTCATTCCCACAATCAGCCTGGTGAGAACGATCTATGCTTAGTTCTACTTTACAGAGGAGGAAACTGAGTCTTGGCGAAGTTAACAATGTGCCCACCATGGAACTTGCACTTGACCTGCCAGTCCTTGAACTCACATCCAAACTCTTCCCAGTCCCCAGGAAAGTTCCCTTCTTCCTAACAGCACAGTCTTCCTATGAGCCCTCCAGGATGGGTCCCCAGTAACCCTGCATCTCCCACAATGTCCCCGACACAAAGAGGCTGCTCAGTAAGTGAACACATGTTATGTATCATAGAAGCTCAGTCTCAGCTCCATTGCTGGGTCTGCGGATCACTGCTGGATATCACTGTGCAAGTCATCTAGCCTCGCTGAACTGCTTTCCTTATATGAGACGGGGGTTATAAAACCTGCCTGTATTGCACAGCTGCGAGGACAAAATGAGAAAAGGTGTGTGAAGCTTTGAAAATGTCCAAGCTCCATGAATTATTAGTTAACATGAGCTAATGGTGCACGTATTTTATCCTCTGTACTGTTGCAAACTTGGAAACACAGTAGGAAGTATACAAATCTTTTCCAATACAGAATAAAAGTTATCACTTCAAAAATTATGCCATAAGCGGACTGTGGGACCCTCTCCAGAGTAGCAGAGACACCAGAGATGGAGGCAGAGATGAGGGCATGGAGAGAGAGAGCAGCTGAGGGCTCTGGACACATGGAAAGAGAAAGGCTTTGTGTTGGCGGCCAGGAGGTCCTGTGGTTGTTTAAATGATTATTATATAATTCCTGAGTGTTGTTGAGGCCAACAAAAAACCAACTGAGGGAATAGAAGCAAATACTGTTGAATGACGATGCACGGAGGGGATTGTGATCATTGCAATGAAATGAAATATGATAGGTGAGTGCAAAGCCAATGCTCTCCCATGTAAACTAACATTCAATTCACAATAAAAGCTTGAAAAAAATGCAACTGGAGTTGAAAGAGACAGTCAGGTTGTTTCCCTATCTGTAAGCCACACCTGGGACGTCTTTAGCTGCCTGTGGGATAAACGACTTTGCCTGTAGAAGCTATAGTAATCTAAATGCTATTATTGTTAGACCACCTTCAACGTCTCACAAGGTCAGCAGTTCGAAGCTACCAGCTGTTCCACAGGAGAAAGATAAGGCTTTCTGCTTCCGTAAAGATTTACAGCCTCGGAAACCCTGTACAGAGTCACTATGAGTTGGAACCGACGATACGGCACATAACAACTACAACAACAACAACCTTCAATCTCTATCTTATTTTTTAAAAATACTTCTGAAGAAATAGTATTTGCTCTATGAAATCTTTCCAAGGAAAGCTTTTGTGGGGACTTAGGAGAAAAGTATTCCAGCATTTCAGACAGCCCTGAAGTCCTCTTGCTTTATCATAAATATGAGGAAACAGAGGCTCAGAGAGCCAGTGGGGCTCTTCCCGGTCCCCAAAGATAGCCCCAGAGCCCAGATCGGAACAGGGTCTCCTGTTTCTGAAGTGGGGCTCTTTCTTCCACTCCCAGTTGCCTCGACTTCTGGCCTCTTTATTTCCTTTCAGACTATTTGTCTGTAACACGTCCTGTGCCATGGACATAAAGCAAAACGTCCCTAAGAACACGGCATAGGCAAGGTCTCTCACCTCTGCACTGTGGTCTGATTGTCAAGCTGGTCTTGATTCAGGCTGTACTCTGGGTTCTTGGCCAGAGGCTCCCTGATGCTCTCAAGGATGGTGTGCCCCTCTTGCAGCGCTAACTTCATGTCTTCCTGCAGAGAGAAGAGGGGTTAGCGGTTCACGTTTCAGGGCAGAGGGAACGGCTGGGTTCTGCTAGGCATTTCACCCGGAATGGGGATGGTGACTGAAAAAATCAAGTAAGGAGATAAAGTTTGAGACAGACACAAAACCGACCACAGTGATTTCTTCTGAAGTCTCTTCCACACTGCCAGCCCTCTCATATATGAGGGGCATCAAAGAGTTTGTGGGAAAATTCCATTATCTTTTCATTCTACTTTTACACTAACATTTGGAAGCCCCCTCATATTTCATGTTTCCACTGAGAAAGGAAGACAAGCTAATGTTTGGACTGTAGCTCTCTGCTACCGTGTGTAGGTTTTCATGTGGTGGGCAGGTTAGGGTGGCGAGCACTCACTACTGTTTGCCACCGGTAGCAAGGCTAGGGTTACAGGTCAGTGGCCGGTAAAAGGAGAGGACAAAAAGAAACAGAAATGAGACCTTTCAAATGTCTCTGCTCCTGCAGTTGTTACTCACAGCTTGGAGAGAGGCAGGTTTTAAGCGAGCGCTAGCGCGAGGCGCACTTGGCAGAGAGCAGACACGGAGCTCTGAGAGACGCACCAGCCGGTGGTGGTCGTGATGGCCAGAGTGAGAGCTGGCACCGTGCATGTGGGGGAGTGGTCCGCAGTGTACTCAGGGATCACAATATCCTTAAGACCATATTTATCCCTGAATGAGATGGTTAAAGACCTAGTTCATGCACGGGAACGTCAGCTGTTCAGAATGAGTCTACCACCTGGTCGCCTGCTTCTCTTATAGGAAACAAGGGCTAGAAATCCTGTCTGCATTATGCTAACGAGCAACAGAAACATCTAGAGGCTCTCAGAGTAAAGACAGCTGGGAGAGCTCACGTAGAGAAAACATGCCTTTCGTAAAGTCTTACTTGATTGGAATGCCGCAAATTACTCAAGGACACCTGGGTCAATAAAACGAATCATTTACTTGATGCCAACACATGGTGTGGTGCTGTGGACCGCAAAGTCAGCTTGAATGGCAAGGTCGGCGGGTCATTGAATGACCCACCAGCTGCTCCTTGGAAACCCTATACAGGGTCATTATGGGTCGGAACCGACTCAATGGCAATTAACACAACAACCAACACATGGCTAAGTACTGCAGCTTGCATTTTATAAGATTCACTGATGTTGCACCATGCTTTTTAAAAAGTTCACACCATAGTTCGAATAGTAGAGGTTACCCAGCGAATGAGTTTAAAAAGATATCTCTGAAACTTGTGGAAATTCTCATTCTTACCTAATGTCAACCTCAGTTCTTTCAGCATCCAACATTTCTCACAGAGGTTGAAAGACCGTGTTTTCTTGTCCTCGTGCCCAGCCGCACCCCCTCCCAGGAGCCACACATACCTTCATCTTGTCCTTCTTTTCAGTGTGAGTGGACAAGATTGAGCTTGTGGACTGTACGTCATTGGGCAGTTCTGTTTCGGCCAATTCGGTCCCAAAGGCCTGGAGTATCTGAGCTGTCTGTTTAACCATGAGGGCGAAGCTTTCGATAGCCTTTGGGAGAGCAAGAACAGGGTCACGACGCTTTTCACACCCCGAAGCCTCTTTCTGCTCTGAAAGCAGACACCCAAGTGGTAACCGTTCCCCACCGGCACACCAGACACGAACAGTTTTCAGAAAGAAGTGAGTGAGGCTTTCAAAGCAAACATAGCTGAGATCATACCTTCACCATTAGTTTTTGGACCTCATGATTTCTTCAGAAACACACCGGGTACACAGAAAATATATTTTCACACCCAGGAATCATTCTGAATTGAGATCTTTCTCTCTTTGTTAAGAGAAGTGTGAGCATAAACCACAACACAGGGTTTTGTTTTGTTTGGTCTCCAAGCCCAGAGAAAGCCACTCCTGAATTTATTACTCATGTTATTTCTTTAAAATGACTAAGGTCCCGGGAGACTCTCTCCTCATTCTGAGGAAGAAAACGTTTGCTAATGTGAATGTGCTTTGGAAACGGCAGCATTGGAATGTGAAAGTAATCCTGCCAGATTAACTATGAATTAACAGGACCCACAATTTGCAGCCACTACCCACCAACAACAACCAAAAAATCCACAAAACTCACCGTGCGGTGACACAACCACTTGGTGTGGCAATAATCCAGGGTTCCGCCAAGGTCCTCCGTCAGCTGTGATTTATCAATGTAACCATGTAATTCTGGTACCGAGCTCAGCATTATGATCTAAAAAAAAAGAAAACCCATCACCCATAAACAGAACAGCCACCAGACTCAGAAAGCATAGTTTCACTGTTGGATGTAAAATGCCACAAAGTGGACAGGACCTGGCTTTGGACTTACATGGTGGTGGTTATGTGCCATGGAGTCGGTTCCGACTCACAGCGGCCCTGCACAGAAAGCCTCATCGTTTTCCTGCAGAACGGCTGGTAGTTTTGAACTGCTGAACTTGAGGTTAGCAGCCTGACTCAAACCCTACATGATTTATATTTATTTTTCGATATATCTCTTATATATTTTGGGGTCACTCTATCCATGAGCTTTTAATTAAAATACAGTCCTTGTTTTGTAAGTGGTTAGCCCTGGTGTGGTGCCTTAGGATAAGCACTTGACTTCAAGGTCAGTTTGAACAGCAAGGCTGGTGGTTCAAACTTACCAGCTGCCCCCTGGAAACCCTGTACAGGGTCGTTCTGAGTTACAGCTGACTTGACAGTACTTAACAACAACAATAAAGGCAGATATTGATAAATAAATCTTCACATGTTAAGCATTCTGTGTATCGTTGTTGTCAGGTACCATCAAGTCGGAACCAACTCATAGCGACCCCATGCACAGCAGAATGAAACAATGTC